GATACATGGTTGGAAACAGGAACGGGACCCGATTCGCCCAGCTAGCGCCGAGCGACAAGCATTAACAACAGCCTCAAATTAGGGGGCACATTAATATTCATAAGTAAAACAATTTGTGTGCGCGCACGTGATGAAATGGAATCCTCGCAAGGTGAGCCCTTGTGTCCAGGGCTGCTCATTAGAATACGCCATTAGCCGTCAAGTGCTTAATTTGTATGAAAAGTCTCTTTTGAACTGAATTTGTAATCTTGCTGGGGGAACTTTGCCACTGAAATGCACTTACCCGAATACACTGATAGGTACACCCACATAAATTGTATCTAAAAGCCTTCACATGCATATTAAGGCCATTTTTCTATGTGAATAAATGTGGTTTGTGTACAAGTGCACTGTATTACTCGGAGAATATTTTGGTTCATTTGGGTTTGTTGTTGCAAAATCCAATTTGCCACACTTGCAGACAGTTAATTTCTTTGCTAATTTTATAAATGCTGCGGAGAAAGAAAAAAAAAAGGAGAGAGAGAGCAAGTTTGAGCCGTGCCGACGCAGTCGCGCTATATGAAAGAGGATTAGCTGCGGCGCTAGCTTATGGCGGCCAAGGCTTATAAACTATAGTGCGGCCTTATCACACCTCTGACGTGCTTTAATTAAACATTACCTCTGTACTAATATCTGCGCGGCGATTGTGCCGCACCTGAATGTGCGGCCTCCTCGCTTTTCGCATTTTTAGCTTGGAAAGGAAGGCGCGCAGTATCAACTTTAAACTTTGGTGTCCAATAAAGCCTTTGAAGATTAGCCTCTGTGTGCGCGTGTGCATGAGGCGGAATTATGGCGCGAAAGCTGAAGAGTATTCACACATATGCGGCACATACAGGCAAGTTATTCTACACCTCCCCATTTTTAACATTTTTTATATTTTACTCCGCCCACTTTTTCTCGCCTCCCCATTTCGCAGCCAATTTTAAACCCTTCAAATTTTAATCGATTCAAAACCATTCAGGAAGTGAAGAACGACTTTCCTCATGTCTTGAAAATTCCTGCTTTTCCCCAGAATTGCACACATTTTCTACACCAAAAACTCATCCAAGACAGTCAATTCAAGTATTTTGCATTGCAAATTTAAATTATTCACATCTAAGGGAGCTCTTTTCAACACTCCATTAATCCCTATCTTCCTCACATTTCACACTTTCCACTATTCATTTCACAAATGTAACCGTTATTTTACATCTTGACATCCTCCTTCCACATTTCTTGACCAAACCATTTCAACTTTCGTTCTACATTTCACAATTTACTTAATTGTACGGCATTTAGTGCAGTGTCAGCTCTTCAGCATTCGCACGCAATTTCTCCCAAAATTCCATTCTGTAGTTTCCTTCCAAACCTCTCTTTTGCTGACGCACATCTTTGTTTTAAAAATCCTTTTTTTTCCCCTCAATTTTATTTATTACATTTATTTTGGGCCAAGCAACTCTACATTAAAGCAAAAGTAAGATGTAGATGAACTGCAACAGATACGACACACAGCTCACGTCGAGATGCGTGAAACGGTGATCACAAAAAAAAAACGGAGTTCTGAGAGGATGTTTGGTGTGTTTAAAAAAAAAAAAAAAAGAGGAAGAAGTGGCAGGCGTGTGATGCGTCTGACAGTCGAGACTTGAATGTGCGATATTAGAGTTAATTAAAGCTTTGCGCCCCGTCTCCTGCAAATGCTTGCACTGGTGCAATTAAGAATCAAAGGCGAAGGGCTTAGTGTCAGGGCGGGGGTGG